CTTTTTCCTCCTCCTTATCCACGTGCATGTGCAATGACAGTGAACCAACAGTCTTCTGAGTGCTTGTTTTTAGATTCTCGCTGCACGCTGAGATCTTGGGCTGGATCTTGAGTAGATCTTTTTGTCCCAGAAAACAGGAAAAAGAAAATCTGAGGACGCCTCCACTATGTGGACACACATACAAGATGTATAAATACAAAACACCGTGGCTGTGAGAGAGGATGCACATGGTGTGGATCCATTTTGCTCACAGATAGGAGAGATAAGTGAACAGGGAGGGCCTTGGAGGCAGGGGCAGACAGAGGCCCCAACCCCATACACCGGGGGCTCAACACACCTGACTCACACAAGAGGAAAAGTTACACACAGATATAGGGTCTTCTCCTGGCCCCAGACTCCCAGAGTTGTTTTTTTGAGGGGACAGAGTTTTGCTATGTGGCTCAGGCTGGCCTCATGGCAGTCCTCCTGCCTTAGCCTCCTGAGTGCAGGTGTGTGCCACCACACCTGGCAGGAGCTGCAGTCTCTGAAGGCCAGGAAGAGGCTCCTGCAAGAGAACTCAGAAGAGCTCCCTGCATTGTGTCCTGGGAGCTGGGCCCATCCCATCCTCCACTGCAGCCGTGGCCTGGCACCTGTCCTGAGCTTCCTCAGGCCAGAGGCTGAGCTGCCAGGTGCTCTGTGGTCAGCACCAGAAACCTGCTGAGGGCACTGGGGACGGCCAGCAGCAGCTCAGCTCCCCGTGTCTCCTGTCCCTTCTTCACGAAGCGGCAGTGATGACAAACATCACGGAGAGACCAGGAGAACTGTGACAGGGCCACAGCTGGGCACAGGGCAGACGCAAGCAGCATCAGTCCCAGCCACCACGAGGGGTAATGCCTGAGCCTGCCAGGTCCTGGACGCTGTGACAGCCTCTCCATAACACAGGCCGGGGGCTCCAAGGCTGAGCCATCACTGTCACTGAACAGGACTGCAGGCCACAGGTGCTGTTGTGCAACCAGTGGCAAAAACAAGCACACATTCACTAGCAAGTCTCAACTCTAACACTGTAGTGCTGGAGCAAGGTTAAGTTGGCCAGGTGGACGCCAGGGCGCATCTCATTCATTTCCTGACATGCCCTCCACCAACACCTGTTCTGCAGGAGTCTTCACTTCTGTACCCGGTTACTGTGGTCACATCCCAACCACAATTACTGTTCTAACCACCAAAGCTATGGCAGGAGGGATATTCCCAGTGCTATAGGACCCCCCTGCTCCCCACTAGCCCTCCTTCATCCCCTTTTCCACTTGAAACTGTGTAACCACTCAACCCTGACACCGGCCCCACCTCTGGTCCCCTGCCTGGCAGCCTGCACTTTCTCTGTCTATGAATTTGACTGCTGTACCAGGAGGGACCTCTTACTGGAGTACTTTCAAGACTGGCTTAGATCGCTTAGCGTGGCATTTCTCAAGGTTTGTCTGTGTTGTAGTAGGAAAAGGCCAATGGTGTGCAAAAAGGGTGTGTAATATCCCTTGGTGTGCACACCCCGGCACTGTGTGTGTTCACTCATTTGTTGAAGGACACTAGAATTGCTTCTCCCTTTGCCTGTCTGTAATGCTGCTTATGAATGTGGCTATACAAATGTCTCTTTGAATGCCTACTTCTGTTTCACTCCTGTGTATTTCCAGAAGTGCACTTTCAGGCCATATCAGAATCCTGTGCATATGTGTGTGGCAGACAGACAGAGACAGAGAGAGTCTCATTGTGTAGCACAGGCTGCTCTCAAACTCATGGTGATTCTCCTGCCTCAGCCTCCCTAGTTCTGGGATTACAGGCCTGCACCACCACACCTGGTTTCCATATCATAATTCTATATTTGCTTTTCTGAGATGTCTTAATGCTGTCTTCCAGAGCCGTAGCCCTATTTTAAATTCTGGCCAGCAATGCAAGGATTCTACTTGTGATAAGCTAATATACATCCTAATGAATGTGAAGTAGTTTAACATATGTCTTTTTATTATCACTTCTTTCAAAACATCCTTTGTGTACAGGAAAGGTTGTAACAAGTACCATATAGCTACTTCTTTTCCCGGTGGTTGTTTTCCCTTGAACTGATGTAAAGTTTTGTGGCCCAGCTCACTGCTTCTCAGCCCTGTTCTGCTCTCTGTTCGGCCCTCCATGGTACTCATCTACCATATTCATGTACACTGAAAACCTATTATACATTGCACCAAGCGCTCTACATGAGTTATTTAATTTGATTCCACACAACTATCCTAAAGTGTAGGTTCTTTTTTTTTTTTTTTTTTTTTTTTTTTTGGTCTTTTTCATTTTTATCGGTACCGGGGATCGAACTCATGACCGCCTGCTTGCAAGGCAGGTGCTTATGCCGCTGAGCTAAACCCCCAGACCCAAAGTGTAGGTTCTTAACGCTTCCATTTTATGGCTGAGTAAACTGACGTACAGAGGTGAGGGATGAGCTCTTACACAACTGAGGTTGACCCAGAAGCTGTCTGATACCAGGACAACCCAGGTGCACAAGGTGCTAGCAGGGTTCACAGATGGAGACCTGCTTGTAGGCAGAGGCCCCACCTTTGGCACCAGGGATTGAACCCAGGGCCTTTCCACTGAGCTGCGTCTCCAGCCTTTTTTTTTATTTTTTATTTTGAGACAGGGCTTTGGTAAGTCACTCAGTTGCCCTGGCTGGGTTTGAACCTGTGATCTTTCTGCCTCAGCCTCCCAGAGAGCCGGGATTATGGGTGTTTGTCATTACCCCCAGCAAGAGGGCCTGGGATGAAAGTTCCAGTGCTGTCTTGGCCTCCCTTTCAGTCTGTGTCAAATGAAGACAGAACAATTCCAGCACCTTTCCAGAATCACCAGCTGTTGACCAAACATCCTGGTGGTGGGAAATAACCACAACCTTCCAGGTGTCTGCCTGGGAGCCCCTGCGAACCATGGCATGTTGTCCTGAGGCTGACAATTCCCAGGGACATTCAGCCACTGCCTCCACCCCTGGCTGGCCTCTTCTGAACTTTGCACTTACCCTGATGAAAAATTAACTGGGCTAATGTTTCCCTCCCAAGGACAAGGCCACCTCTGCAAGGCAGGCCTGGCTGGGTCCCAAGAGACCAGGCGCCAGGGCAGTCATACCCATGGGGGGCCTGTTCATGGTCCAACGCAGAGAGGGCAATGTGGGTCGCCTTGACCCCAAGCAGGGTGAGCTCCTCGCTGTCCTTGGGCTCCTGGTGGACTGGCCGGGGCAGACACAGGGCTTCCGGATTCCCACCCTGCTTCTCGGAGTGTGCTGTGGTCCCCACACACTGGTGCTGGCAGGAAGGAAGCAGGGCACAGTGCGAGCCTGGCATGGTGTCTTGCTGGCTGTCTAGTTGCTTCCTCCCCTTAGGAAGAGGAGGGTGGACTTCGTGCCAGGCTCTTCTACTCCAGTGACTCCCAAGTCTGCTCAGTCTGCTCCCCTCCGAGTGCCCACGTCTGCCCTTCGAGGCCCTCACTGTCCAAGGTGGAGGCAGAAAAGAACCAGCTCAAAGCCTGGCTGCCCAGCCTGGGCCGGCCCTGCTCGAACCAACACAGCTTAAAATCAACCCCGCATCAGCCATCCCTCTACCCAGCAAGCGTCGCCCTCTTTCACACAGGTGAGGAGTGCCAAGCTCTCCCAGCCGTGCCCACCTCAGTGCTCAGCACCACGCTCCTTGCCAGTGCTTGGCTGGCGGAGTTTTTCACACCAGCGTCCCACCACTGCCCCGGGATGCTGGGAGGGAAGCCGTCTGTCCTGGTTCCATTTCACAGGCGAGTAAACATATCTCACACTGTCCCAACAGGAATCCGTGTAAAGCGCTTGTGTTCCGCAGAGAACTCTCACCTAGCAGGGTCTCTGCCTTCACGACTCCCCGAGGCAGCTGGGCGCACAAGCAAGATAACGGATGAAGGCCGCAGAGAGCAGGGCGCTGCCTCCTGGGACCCCGAGCCCCGGGCTGCCAGGGCCCGGAGCCCCGCGGACCTTGTGGATTGGCCGCACCACACAGGGCTGCGTACCTCCCCACCCTCCGGGTTGCCGATTAACCGGTTTTCCTACCACAGGGGGTTTCCTGCTGTTAAAAGCAAACAAAAGCCTCCTCACTGGGCCAGCCCCAAAGAGGGGGTGCTCGGGCCTGCGGTGACTCCCCAAAGCCGCCCCTGAACGCTGCGGGTGGGCAGAAAAACCCCAGACTCTGCAGAGCGCCATTTTTCTCGGCTTCCCTACTGCGCTAACTTTGAAGACAGAAACTTTCGCCCACACCGCTCTCGCTCCACTTTTTTTTTTTCCTCCAAGTTCACTGCTTTGCCAACAGCTCTCCCTCCTGTTTACTGGGTGTCCAATTTCGATCTTTGTGTATCACAAGGTTCTGCAACACACAGCCATGTAAATTTCCCCAAAGATACATTTCAGAGCGCCCCCATTCTTTCCTTCGGGGTCTCAACAGATGTCTGCCGGTCCGTTTCTTTTTTCCTTTTCTTCCCTCCCAAGCGCTGGATTCACAAGGCCGCAGGGACCCTCCCTGGCTCTAGCTATTGTTCAGGTCGTCCCTGGGGTCCCCAACTCTCCACTTCCACGAGCTACTTCGGCCCACCAGCCAGTGAGTTGTCACCGGGGAGAAAAGAAAATCAACCCGAGGCCCCGGGCTCGGCCAGGCCTCCGCCGGGCACCAGTGCGCCCCGACTTCCTGGACTTCCAGCGCCCGGCGCGCGCGCTCCCGCTCTGGGCCCTCTCCGGTGCGCCCCTAGATCTGTGCCCCGCGCCGAGCCCTTCTGGTCGCCCTCTCCCAGGTCCTCTTTTTCCTTTTCCCCGGCTGCCGCTGCGGCTTCGGCCCGGTCCGGCCCGGGTCGCAATCGCCGCGGGCCCGGTGGCCCACGTGGGCCGCGCGGGGCGGGGACGGCGAGGCCGGGAGGGCCGGGCGCCCGGGGGCGGAGGCGCGGGGCGCGGGGGCGGAGCGGGAGCCCCGGCGTCGAGGGGCGGTGATAGCGCCGGCGAAGGAGCTGCACGCGGATTTGCATGAAGCGGAGACTGGAGCTGGCGGCGCGCGGGGCGGGGGGACCTGCGCGCCCGGGGAGCGGAGCCGGGCTGGGGGTTGGACTTTCCTGCCCGGAGGCGGCACCCAAACAGCCACCCCGTGCGGAAACCCAAACTTTCTGCTGCCACTCGGTGCCTTGCGGCCGCCGCCTCCGCCCCGCGCCTGGGGCCTGCCCGACCCGGCCCGCGCCTTCGCCTCCGCCTCCGCCTTCGCCCGGAGCCGCCGGGGCCGCGCGCCGCAGCCTGCAAAGTTAGCTGGAGTTGGGGCGAAGTTTGGGGCGCGCGGCCAGGCCGGGCCGGGCTCCCTGCCGCCGCGCGCGCCCTCCCCAGCCATGTCGTCCATCCTGCCCTTCACCCCCCCGATCGTGAAGCGCCTGCTGGGCTGGAAGAAGGGCGAGCAGAACGGGCAGGAGGAGAAGTGGTGCGAGAAGGCGGTCAAGAGCCTGGTGAAGAAATTGAAGAAGACGGGGCAGCTGGACGAGCTGGAGAAGGCGATCACCACGCAGAGCGCCAACACCAAGTGCATCACCATCCCCAGGTGGGCGCGCGGGGAGGGATGGAGGAACCGACCTCCACTCCCCCCCCAAAAAAAACCCCATCTCTGCACTCGCCCAGATCCAGAGCCCGCGGCTTCCACGCGCGCGCTGGCTTCCAGACCGCTTTGCTTTTCCACCCCCGGGAGAGGGGGTGCCGCGGGGGTCCCCCCACTCCCGGACCGCGCTAGGAGTTGAGGCCCGCTTTGTTCGGCCCGGAGCCGAGCCCCTCCTCCGCCTCCCGCCCCGCGCGCCGCCCGCGCTCGTGGAGGTGCCGTGCAAGGCCCTTTCTTTCCTCTTTTTCTCCGGCCCGGTCCCCCCCACTTCTGTCCGCCACTGGAATGCAGTCGGTACAGCTGGGGCCGTGGGTGAGGAGCGGGAGCCCGGTGATTGACAGATTCCTTCTTCGTTTTTTCTTTGCCTTTGGGATTAGCATTTTTATCGAGTATTTTTAGACTCGGTTGTTCCACTCTCCCGCCCCCTGTGCACGCACGCACGCATTTTAGTTGCAGCGCAGGGCTCCGACTTCCAAGTGGGAGAGACCGGCGGCAGGCCCCCCTCCCCCGCGCTTGTTTGCCCTCCATTTAGTTTGAAAGATTGCGAGACGATAGAACCGAAGGGGAAGCGCCGGACAGATAACAAAACCCGCCCCGAAGTGGGCCTCTCTGGAGCCCTCGCATTCCTGCGGAGCCTCCTTCCCAAAGCGCTTTGCCATCTGTCCCGACCTCCTTTATCCTAGCATCGCGCTGGTGAGGTCGGGCGGGCTCACAGATGGCGGGTGGAAGGGGTCAGTGACTTCTCTCCGCTCCTGGAGCCTCTACGCTCAGCTGTGCCTGGCTGGGAATTGGGATGCGGGCACCTTGGCCTCCTGTTTCTAAGTGCGGCCTCCTTTCAAATGTCTGATTGTGAACCAAGGACGCCCGCGAGTGGGGGTGGGAGGAGGTGTGCGGATGGGGGAGGGGTGCGCCGAGACTGCAGAGGACTGAGAAGAGAACTTCCAAAGCCGGAACCTGCAGGGATTGTCACCCTCGGCCCACGGTTGACTCCATCCTGAGCCACCAGTTGGGGCAGCTGTTCCAGAGCTGCCAACCTTGTCGAGCGGGCACAAAGCAACATCTGTCCCAGGAACCCTGGGCTGCACTCCTCCTGGAAGTAAATGCCACATGTGGTGGGCATACTGACTTTTAAACATAGTTTTTGGACCAAACGGAGTGTGTGCTGTCTGATGGGCAGTGTACCCTGGGCTTGTGATAGGAACGGAGTTGGCCTCAGGGGTGATGATGGGATGGGATGGCCAGAGAAACGAGGATTTTGGTCCCAGCTCTGGTTCTGGTTTGTTTTGTTTTGCTTTTTGAGACATAGGCTGGCCTCAAACTCAGGCTCAGGGCAGTGATCCCCCGGCCTCAGCGTCCAGACTTACAGGTGTGTGCCACCATGCCAAGTCCAACTGTGGTTCTTCATTCTTCCTTTGGTGGGACAGGGAAGAGTAGCGTGGGTGAGCAGCATTCTTCTCCATCTGAGGAAGGCCCCGTGAAAGCAGTGCTTCTAATCCACGGGGTGCTGGGCAGGCAGGAGCTTTGCGCATTGAGGGGGGGGGGTGATACCGGTTATAAAACACAGGGCTTTTGAAAGCATTTCATAATTTGCAAAGTACTTTCACCTGGTTTATGAGGTCCTTGAAGGAGGAAAGAAGGAAACCAGCTCCTGGAAAATAAATAAGGCAGTGACATTCAGACAGTCTCACTTAAAATTTGAGCAGACCCCGGAGGGGAGCAGTAGAAAGGCCAGCAGGGTGGGTCTGGGGTCCTGACCCACCACTCTTTCTGCTTCCCTGGGCTTGCTGCACTGTGTGACTCTGCTGGGAAGGTGGCTCCTGCTAAACCTTTGCACTGGTGAAAGCTTGTGGGAGAGGCCTTGCTTCCCTTGGTAGCGCAGGGGGCAGAGCGTCCGCCAACCTGTTCTTCTTTTGCAGCCCCCCCAAGTACCGGATGTGTGGGTGCTTGGAGTGGTTCTGAAGCACCAGCCGGGCTCCTGTGTCCTCCTCACCAGCACCCAGCTGTCTTGCTCTTTGGGAAGGGCTTTTTATTTATTTATTTATTTTGGTGCTGGGGATTAAACCCAGGCCTTGTTCCCAAGAGGCAAGTGTTCCCTCGCTGAGCTACAGCCCAAGCCCTGAGCACATTTGATCTTCCCATTCACCTTTTCTCAGCTGGACAGCCACGGCTGCTTGGGTGTAAATCTAGAAAGAGTAAGTTTCTGTCGTTGGATTCAATGCCCACACCTCTTGATCTCCCTGTCTCCCTTGGCAACAGTGGCTGCTGTTTTGGTCCTGGGCAGAAAACTGAAGGCTGCATCTTGGGGAGGTGGCTAGCGGGGCTCCACTGGTGAGAGCCTGGTGCCTGCTGGCCTCTGTAGGTGGCGAGGTTGTCTGTCACTTTGTCCCCGCCTGGCCTCATGCTGCCTTTGGGAACTAGGGCTTCGGAGAGGAGCTAAGTTTTCCCCTTCAGTGTGTGTGTGTGGACTCCTACGCAGTGAAGTGTGCACACGGGCACACTTCAGAATACGCTTGAAGATCTGCACTCTCAGGTTTATGGAGCCCTGGGTCTGAGGTGGCTATGACATACCTGCTTCACCTGATACATACTTATGAGCTGCCCTGGCAACATTTGCCAATTCTTGTACACTTAGGACTTGCACAACGAGTTGTGGCTGCTACCAAACTATTGCAGTGATCAGGACAGCGGGAGGGATGTGGGTTTACTCTCGTGGGTTCTGTCCCAGAGGAGGGTGCCAGTGATATGCTAAGATTGTGATTTGGATGCACAACTGAGAGGACCCCCGAGCATGCAGACCTGGCAGGATGACCAGAACTTGGGCAGCTGTTCAGCAGTCATGTCTCCATCTCTACCTGTTGGGCATCTGAACAAAGCTGCCGGCATCATGTGTAAGAACAGAGAAGTAGCATTTGTCACCAAGAAAGGGAAACTCAGGTTGGGAATGAGGACTCAGGGCTCTGCAGCTTCCTTTCTGATAGACATGGACCCCTGGTGTCTCCACTAGAGGCGTCTACACCTTGGTCTCTGGGGCTGGGAGCTGGAGCCAGCTTAACGACCTTGTTTGTGTGGAAGAGAACTGGGACTTTATTGTGTCCCAGCAATGAGTCCAGAGGCAGTGGCAGAAATGAGCCCGATACCAGGTCTGACACAGGACATCTCTCCTGCTCTGTGCGCTACATCTTTGTAGCTGTCACCTCTGGGGACTTTGCCAGGTTACTGTCACCTGGGGAAGAGAGGCGAGATACACTCATCCTTAACTCCAAGGATACCAGGTGGCCAACTCAGGGCTGAGCATGGACCTAGGTGCCCCCCACTCCCGTGTTCCTGGGGACTCAGGGCTCCTTGGCTGCTACTGCTGCACCCAGGAACTGAGTTCCCAGTCAAATGCTTTTGGGTTAAATTCTGTTGCTTTTGGTGCTATGTATTGGGCCCTTGTCATGTTTAGTATTAGGGTACCAGGGGAGAGTGCCGGGGTAAATTCGAGAATGTCTCTGCCTACGGAGAGCTTATGCTTCACTAGGGTGACACTAGTGGGGCATTGTTTGAATGTCAAAATATTTCTTTTGTATTTGCAGCAATTATAAAAAATTTGTGGTGGGGGTTTCAGGGGAGAGGAATTCTGGTGTAGCTTTCTAATCTCAGAGGTCACTATAGTAGAAAATGAAGTAATGCCAGCTGTATTTTCTCTGGCGAAAAAGAACAGAGAATTCAAGTTCTACGCCTGCCGTTTTACTCCCGGGGTAAATTTGAAGATCTCTTTAATGTTTCAAACCCTTGCCGTGTGTACCCGAGAAGCCAGGATTCCACAAGGCATGAGTACCTTGGAGATGTAGTAACCTTGCGTCCATAGAAGACGGAATTATTCAGTGATTTCTTCTATGAGGGTCCTTGTCCCAGGAGGGCTGTGTGTGGGCTGGGAGACATGTGCCCAGCGCGGGGGGACACAGCTGACCTGTGGGAGTTAGTTGAGGGTCAATGTGGGTGGAGAAGTGGGAAGAGGACCAGAGTTAGGCTTGGTGGGCAGTGTTTGGGTGGCAGCGTGATCGTGATTCTTTTTGCCACCTGGGAAGAATCGTCTATAAGAAGGAGGCCATCCTCTTCTGCCTTTTCCTAAAGCAAGTGCCGCCATGAACATGTCACCGGGTCACTTGGCACAGAGGGTTAGTGGGCTGGGTCTGACCGCTTCCATAACTGCAAAGCATTTTCACTTTGAAGTAAAATGTGATTTAGTACTGCAAACCTGAAATTCAGGTTTCTTTGGTGGGAGCAGGGACTTTAGATGGAAGAGTTGGAAAATGCTAAAGTGGCAGTAAACAGTGGACCAGTTGGAGGGTGGACACTTAGACTTGCAGTTTGGGTATGACCTACCTTTTCATTCCTCTGGGTAATATTTACTGACAGTAGATCTCATAGTTTCTGAGTGGACATAGGAACTGAGCAGTATATTTTCAAAAAGTCTTTGCAAAGACATAGGTTTTGACTACATTGTTTGTTTGCCTTTTGAGACAGTCTCATTGTAGTCCAGGATGGCCTTGAACTTGAGCGGATCCTCCTGCCTCAGCCTCCTGAGAGCTGGATTACAGGCATACACCCATCTAAAATGATCATATTAATAATTGAAAAAGGTCAATGAATATGGTAGTCATTTAGTTTTGCTGAGAAACACAGTAAGTTGATGATTTGGTTTGAGCTTATGAGGAATCAAACTAAAAGTTTTAAAAAAATAAATATTGGCATAGTAATGTACACTATGATTGTTGTATTATAATGGAAATAAAATTAAGACAATTTAGTGGACTGAATGACCATTATTTTCCTTCATTAATTTATTAGGAGGTGTTTCTGCTGTTTGACATATCATAGAGCCTTTATTCTGTGTGAATTTCTTTACGAAATAAACAGGACCAAGCACCGCTTGTACTGAATGGAAATGAGATTTTATTTCCTTA